CCCATGGGGACCTCAATTTAGGTCCCCACCATGAAATGGGTCCTCATGAGTTGGTATGGAGTCAGGAAGAAGTCCCCACGTAGCAGGGAAAACACGTCCACACACACACACACACACACACACACTAGCTCAGTATAGAACACAGACACACACGGTAGAATAGGCTGTACAGCACATATTCAGGAGCAGACACACATTTTCTTTTCTCTCTCCCCTTTTGTTCTGCACACACAAATATGGCAGAAGGTAAATCGGGCTTGCGTTGCCATACCGACAGTAGAGCTTGTTAAGTCATCTGCTGCTCTTTAGGTCACTATTATCCTCTGGCTGCGGTAACCACAGTGATGCCTTCACCCTGTGTATGCGTGCTGGACTGCATCTCGAAAGAACGAAAAGTATCAGAGGAGCTCTCACACACACCCAGTATGAGACAGTGCAAATGACTGAAATGAGAGCTGAATAATCAGAACAGTATGAGCACATGGCAAGTTTATGGACTTTCATCGATCGACGGACTGCTCAGCGCTCCAGAATGAGTTTACCCAGCATCAACATGTCCCTGAAACAAACTATTTCATAACATTCACATCCACCAGAGGCATTTTCAGTTCGAACCTGCACTGTAAATAAACACTGAACAAGAAGAGAAGTCACGTGAAGTCATGTGCTTCAGGAATGACAGTGTTTTACATAATGTCAAATGTTTTAGCTTACATTTTCACCTTACCATTCTCAAACAGTCAAACTTGATTTTAGAGTCAGGGTTAGAAACACCTCAAGTGCATGTCAGCCACATTCTAATGGAACTAATGAAATAATGTTAAAACTAGCATGTAAAATATCACATAAAAGCTAAAAGAAAGACCTCTAATAGCCTGTATTCTATTAAAAGCTAGAATAAATACAAATCTTTGTGCTGTGCTGTCTAGTGCAAAACTAAATGACCCCTGCTCAATATAGCGGAAAATGCCTGTAATCACCACAATGACATCAAATATATAGATACAGTTATTGTGGCATTTCTAGTTTCTACTGGGGTTTCTGTCAAGTGAACCAGATTGTCTTGTCTGACTGTATGAAAGTACAACACACTCAGAATGTCTCTGAAGAGTTTGGGTTGACACCAGCAGGTGTGTATCCTGTTTGTGAGGCAACATGCAGTTTGCATAGAGTTTCAGTTGAAAACATGAGTCAACAAGTCAAACACACAGACGTACAAATGGTTGTACGCACACACAAGCCTGTGTGGTTGGTTCTGTGTGTGTGTGTGTGTGTGTGTGTGTACTGTCCACACAGGTCTAAACAATGATGGGAACTCAAAGACCAGATTCAGTCAAAGGGTCTGATGATGGGATCAGGGTGTAGGCCAGCTGGTGGAACGGTGAGGACCCACTGTGCACAGCACAACACAAACTTTGACCCCATTCATTTTAAATGGGACACAAATGAATCGCTTCACAAAGCACCGTGGGATTCCAGGCTACATGACCAAAGACAAGGAGCCAGAAGATAAAAAGAAATTTGCCCGGAAGCGACACAGTGAAAACTGATGAAGTAGCTTGTTATTAAACAGGTGAATGATAAAACATCTGTGGAAAACAGGATAACAGATGCAGTGGGATTCCTCTCTTATATGACATCTGCCTTCTAGATTACAAGGACAAAGAGAAGAGAAATGCAGCCTGACAACAAGTTGTACACGCTGTTAGAAAAGTGACAAGTTAAACAATAAGGTCGGTCATTTTCTATATGAATAGCATTTTCAATAATCCCCACAGAAAGACAAAAACTGTTAATGTCTGTCAGGCTCCAACCTGGATCAGCTCACTCGTCTCTGCCATAGAGCTCCATCGTTCTTATGATTAAAATCATATCAGTGAAACACACCACTGCACTGGGTGACATGTTTCTTCCTTACAAAGCAAAAAACTCCAAAAGCCCAGAACTTTTTTTTTTTTTTTACAGCATCTAAAGCAAGGAGATCTCTCACAATTCGCTGTTGGTTTCAGTCTCTGTATGGGGATTGTTGAAAATACTATTAATAAAACTACACGGAGGTAGCAAAGACATGCTAACGGGACAGCACATACACCTTTCTGTTAACCCATGAGAACGTTTTCACGTGCTAATGTTGGCCTGTGTCGACACATCCAGAGCGACAGGTGAGAAGTAGCAGAGGTGATGTTGCGCAATGCGCTCGCTCCTAGTGGGTCTTAACTATACTGCTGTATCAGTGACAGTTTTAACACGGACTGCACTTTTAACCCTGACAATAACCTGACTAATAAGTGACTAAACAAGTGCTCGCATTTTCTAATTACAGAATTAAAATTATAACTTCAATTGCTTTTAAGATGAGTTTATGTCTCAGTCAAATATTGATTTTTAGAACAAGTACAAGACAGTTACAACTACTTAACTGTGTTCACTTTCTGCCAGTGCAAATGTTTCTACAGCCTAAACATTTTAAACAGAAATGCCAAAGGTTTGCTTTCCGGCTTCTCAATTGAGAGAATTTGCCAGAATGTGTCACGTGGGCTACTGTGGAGAGCAATAAGCAACCTGCGTTTAGAATAAAGTCCTTGCAGATGTAGCCTGCTCTGTGTGGGAGATCTTGTGTGTGAATGTGCCTGAATACAGTACAGTTTCACAGGAAATGGTACATGCTCTTCTATGTCACCCCCTCAGTGCTTGCCAAGTGGTTGCGTGTGTGTATATCTTTGTGGGTGTGTGAAAGAGACATCTATCTCTGTCTGCGAAAAGACATGCGTGTGAGCACTGCACGCCACCGAGCTGCTCTGTGCACCATATTCGTGCAAAGCGGTGTGTGTGTGTTTGGGTGTACACAGTGGTGTGCGTGTCTCTGAATGAGGGAAGGAGAGAAGCTGCCAAGTACAGCTGTGTCAGTGACCGCACAAGGCAACTGGGGGTCATGGAAGTTCACAGCTTTCTGCCATGAGTGCTGTGAAGTCTGAGTTGGACGGAGCTTCGGCCAATCGCAGGGCTGGGTTTGGGAGCATGAAACTACAGGAAACAGATAACCAATATTGGAAATGGGGGAGTGCCGTTGCCTACACAAGGGCACAGATAGCTCATATGATAGTTCAAATAAAGTGACACATGTACAGTAGATACCCATTAACCAGGAGGCACATATAGGCCAAACAAACACCCAGGGAATTAAATAAGGGAATATACACTTTCAAACATTCATAAATAAACTGTTAAGATCTGTAAAAGTCACCTTTACTTGGCCATAGTCCACCAGCTACATGTTTACAGAACAGCTGTGGGTTCAAAGCTTTCCGTTTGTCAGTGGTGGTGAAACCAAAGAGAAAGCTCGAGCTCAGCTCAGTCTACTGTTTCCAACACACCAAACCAGAAGTGGCTTAGCATTCACCAGCAGCCTATCAGCTTACTGTACCATGTCACAGGTATCAGTTTACTCCACAGTAGCCGCCTCAGCAGTACTCACAACAGGACAACGTACTGCTGCATTGTACTGTACATTCCGACTCTACTGTCAGAAATTTGTTCTGCTCTAATGTTAATAACCATTAGAATAAACGGAATAAACTGAGATGTTGGAAACGCATACCCTTCAACAAGTGCATGGATTATGGTTTCACTTCCTATTTTGAATTGATTGAATTGAAAGTGAATTGATATAAAACAGAAACACTGAAAAAAAAATGACTGCTTCCCCTCACAGCAGGTATACACAGTACAGAATAAAACAAGCTGCAGTAAACACTAGAAAGGGATACTTACTGAAACTTGAGCCTGACTTGTTCATTGTCTGGGTTGCAGTACAGTCTCTCCAGCTGTTCCTGGGAATCGTCTGCTATGCTCTGCCACGTCTGGCTACTGGTCCTGCAGATCTGCCAGTGGTAGGGCAAGACAGTGTGGTGGTGGGCACAGTCACTGCCATAAGCACACCGCCCTTGGAGGAAATCCACACAGATGTCTACAGAGTCTGCCTGGTGTGTGTGATACTGGAGCTGGGTGAGCAGCTCAAAAACCAGGTCCAAGGAGGCCTCTTCGCTTTTATCCTGAAATAGCACTTCTTTGTCAGGGCGCAGTAGGAGGGGAAGTGGGTCCTGGACGCCACTGCAGTCTTTGACTGGAAGGATTTTAGCCCCAGAGGTTAAGAGGTCATTGCTTTTAATGGCCCCCTCCTGTTGAGGAGGCTGGGGTGCAACTATAGGAGGTATATCCCTGCCTGGGGGGGTTACTGCCACTGTGCTCCCGGCCGCCCTGAGGCCAGGTTTCAACTGAAAGCAGGGGCTGTCCGGGGAAGGATTAGTGATCTTGGGTCGCTCACCTCGCCGCTCTGTCCCATCAAGCTCCACGGTAGTATCGGCTATTTCCACATCACCCCCCCGTGCCATCAAGCCCGGTACTCCAGCCCCAGCTGCGGTATCTTCAGCAGCTCCCTGGCCTTTGATGCACACCTGGCCCAGGCCCATGCAGTTCTGTTTTGCCACGGCCGCTGCGCACAGGTTGCCCGGAGTCCGACTCGACTGGTTCCTGGGAACAAACACCCCATCCCCGGTATCCGTGCTCAGTAAAGTGGTCAATATGGGGTCCTGTAAGGCTCGGTGGAGGCATTTGGGGTCCAGTTTCCTCTGCTTCTTTTTGAAATAAGGTTTCACCAGCGGTATTTTGTCCGGGAGCCCCACGATCTGCTGTTCCGAGAAATCTTCCCCTTCCTCCACATTTAAACTCATATCCAAAGAGATCCCAGTCCGTAGTCCGTCTGCGGATTTCTGGAGAATGTGCAAAGTTTTATCCATGATCTCCTCCTAAACCCCGAGAGTCCTGAAAGAAAGAAAAGAGAGAAGGAAAGGGACAGTCATCACCTATAATCCTTTAGGCTGAGTGTTCAAGGTGAAGTCATCCTGGCGCATAAAGACATGATTAATAGGCTGCGTGTACGAGCTGTTGTGCCATAAAATAACCGAACACTCGACTTTCCTTTCCTGGAAAGGAAACCCCTCGCCTTCTGTGCACTGAAACGAAACCTGTTTAACCCCTCCGATAAAACTATTGGCACTGGTCTGATCCCATAATGGCCCTGCAGATAGCGGCCAACGTAATGATCTGCTTCCCCAGGCGCATTATAACCCCTTTAGAAATATCACATTACAGGAATAGCCTGCTGTATTGACTCTGGCTTGGAAAGGAGAAAGAGCTTCAAGCAGCCTGTAACCAGTAACTGAAGCGGAAAAATATTACCTAATCCTGTTGAAGGGAACTGGAGCGCAGAGTCACCAGCCTCAGATTAGCCAACAAAAAAACGAGAATACCCAGACATTTGGACAGTCTTTTACCCTTTATTCTGGTGTCTAACGCCATGCCTGCTATTATAAGTGCGTCTCCAAGCAGGCGATAAAATCACCCCTGTAACAAAACCCTCCCTCTCTCTCGGGACTATATATTTTGATCACGGGAGTCCGATATGTTGCCCCTGCCGTCTACGTGCTGCTTACATATCGCTGCCCGAGCAACTTTGCACGTAGGCTACAGTCGACACACACACACACACACACACACACACACACACACCCATACATACACATCTCCTACAAAGCAATGCGGCGGAGCAGCGACAAAAGACAAACGGGGCAGCCCTGGTTTCTACAGCAGCTCCCATCGCGTTAGGAAACACTTCTTCTGCAGAGCCGGAGCTCTGTGGGCTGCGGAGTTGAAAAGCTAGAAATCAAACAGTGAAGCGCTGCAGAAAGCAGGCAGGGCGATGTACTCTAATGCAGTTTCCCCTCCGCCGATTTAAGAAAAGACGAGCCTCTCTACATTTGTCTGACACCGAGATGACTAAACCGTACCTGCGCAACAAAGTCCGCTCGGTCCCCGTGGTCTTTACACTCTTTGGTGGGTAGAATCCAGTGCGCACATCGGCGGAGCACCGTGTCCACTCTGGAGACAACAGTATCCGTGCCTGCACTAAACTGTAATCCCGTTAGGTTGTTCGTGTCCCTTCTGCTGCCCCCGCCACTCTCATGCTCTGTCTCTATTTCATGCCGTCTGTCCCTCTCTTTGTATCCTTGTACCGGACGGAACAGCGCCGTAGACAGACCGACATAAAGCGCAGCACAGCTGTGGTGACTGACGCTCTGCCTGCCTCCCGGCTCTGCACCGCCAGGCCCCGCCCCGTAACCAGGTCACAGGCGGGGCTTTCAGCAGCCTTTATGTCGAGACCCGGAAGTAAACTGGTCATTATCAAGCAAACTAGGAACCAAGTAATAATGTAGGCCTTTTGCTGAAGTAAAAATGACCACTGTCCATTTACTCCACCATATCGTCCGCATTCAAAATGTCAACTCAGGGAATCATTAAAATATGTTCTACCCTGTCCCCGAGTACACAAAGATTCCCCAAAAACAAACTCAGCTGTTCGACTGATACTACCTGTCCACGGGTTTTCACTTAGTTTATTTAAAATATATATGTGAGCCCAAATTTAAAACAGTAAAGCAAGGTCTTAAAACTATATTTTAACACAGGAGGCATCTAAAGGACAACCTCACAAGATTATTGGTGATGATGCAGGACATGCCATGGTTGTATACGTTTGTGGTTGCAATTCATCACATAACCAAAACAAACAGTGCACTGGGTCTGGGAGCCTGGGGCAGCTGCCCACTTTGCCCTTGTTTAGAATATAAGGTCTATAAGATTAGGTGTAACAGTATCTGCCTACCAAATAGACCTTTTACAACCTAGCAACCCAAACCTTGACCTTATTACTTGGCCATGATTAAGGAATAAATCCTATATAAACAACTTCACATATATTAATAAAGTAACTAATTATAAACCCATTTGAGAAATCAGTTATCAACACTTTAATGTTGTATTTGGCTAAAGTTGGACTAAGTTGAGCTGTGAACTGTATTTCAATCAATAACAATAAATCAGATTTTGCAAGTTGATTACATCAATTGTAAGTAAAATATGTCTGAAATTAACCAAAATAAAAATAATTAAAGCAGCTTCCCCCACACTGTACACACACTTTATACAGGGCTCAAGCAAATATTTTCATTTGGTTTTCTTTATGTAAATATGCTAACGCATGGTGTATAAATAACCTGTTTTACACATTAGCTCATTTGTGCATACAAGACATTTGTTAATTCAAATATTTTGTTCATTAGGTTTTGTTTGAAGATGATTATCTCACCTCTCGTGACAGTTCTTGTAAGGAGGTGAAACTACATTGAGAATATCACATCAGATTATTTCACATGACACTAAACATGAAACCTGTGACTTAATTATAATCCTGCCAAAAGCAGATAAAACCAGGATGAGTCATTTTTCTAATATGCTTATCTGGTTTCTAAAAATTTCTTATAGTAATTTAGGAAGCCTGACTCTGACCCTTGTAGCTGATCTGTCACATCTCCATAAGCATTGTTTACTGACTGTGCGTTGTGTCAGCTTCCCTGTCCTCTCTGTTTTACCAGAAGTGGTTTTTAGGAACCGGCTGTGCTGTACTGCCTTATTGCATCAGTTTCATTTTTTGCAAACAAGCCTGCTCACCCAAACATTTTCTAGTTTCTAGAGAGTGGACTTTAGCACTAAATGCAAATTTGTTATGTACTTCTATACATCAGATTATAACAGGAACAGTTCAGGGGTTCTTGTATCTTATGTCAACACAGCTGGTGTGGTGAGAGTTATCACTTTATGCAATCATTTCCAAATACTACCTAAATACCTACTACCTTAGACGGGTGGTTTTAGAGATAAGCCTGCTGTGACAGTCACAAGCTGCACCGCATTATTCCCTTTCAACTGGAATTAGAGAGTTTTAAAACTAGTCTCTATAAGGACTGTAATGCTGTTAACCCATTAAGGTTAGGTGTAGAGTTTGTCTCTGGAAGAAGCGGAGATGATGAATTTGGTCTTCTACATTTCCTATTGTTCCAGTAACTGACATAACAGGAAATTAAAGTAACCCTCATTTCCCACTCATGATCCCTGTGGGAGACACTATGGCGGAAACTCTAAACTGAATATATTTTTAATGAGATTATCTATTAATAACCCATTCACTATTTAAGCGTATGTATTTTTCAGCATCTTTCCATATTATCCTGTTGAACTGACAAAGGGGTAAACCTCCTACTAATGTTCCACAGCTATTTATACACAAACCTCTTTACTTCATAACATCCACAAACCACCAGTGGCCCTCTGCGCTGTTTTTAAGTTGTTGTTTTTTTTATTTTCTATGTACAGGCTACAGGCTGAGATTCAACAGCAACAGGTCAGAAATGAACAGAACTGTGTGCAACCATCTTCCAGACAAACACAGATGCCGTCAAAGCTGTTCCAATGAGGGTTAGTCATTTGGAAATTACATGCCTGCAACTGAAGACACAGGAGAGCTGACGTATATGAGAGTAATTGCCTGGTTGCATACCGACGGATCTCGAGCATTCCTCCTTGGCTGACATGCAGAATGATGTCCTATTGTTCAAGTTCTGACTTGTCTCAGAGGACGCCCTACAAAAGACATACCTGCCTGCCAAATCCAACTCACTCGCTGTCTCACAAAAATCAGTGAGTGATCTCAACACGTGAAACAACAAGTTCTGTGATGGTCCTCTAATACATCTGAGGGAGCGCGTTGTTCTGAAGAATAAAAAGCTAAAGAAGCATTACAGGAATATTATAGTCATATCACTTGAAATTAAAAATGATATAATGTGTCATGCAGTTTAGCAGTATCTGTACTGGGAGTACCTTTCTGGTAAAACACATACACACTCATTCTCAGACTTGGTGAAAAAATGTATTGACACTTCATCACTTCCTGTGGCTATATTTTTGTCCACTTATCTCCATAACAACAGGTCAGAGCAACAGGGTGAATGCTTTCAAGAGCAGGAACATAAACCCAGGTATGCTTTTAATCCCATGGCAGCCCCACTCAGTCCCAAATAAAATGGAGCATAAACGAATTCTACGAACACATAAAAGGGCATTAGGTGGGCCGGTAAAGGTGCTGCATTTCAGGCCCCACCCTCTGAATCTTATCTGTTCACATGCCTGCACACAGCACAATTACTGGAGGCAGATCAGTTAACACTGGTGACAGGCCCTCAGCCTTGACACGCCTGTTTTACACAGTAAAGAGTTTCCACAGGATGGAAGCATAAAAATATGTTTTATTGAGGTAATTGCTGTTGGACTGGCAGTGGAAGCCATGGGTGCCATAAACAACGATGAAAGTCTCACTGTATAATTATTGTCATTACAGCCATTAATTTTGTCTTTTTCATGTGAATCACAAGGAGAAAACATTTTGTTGTTGCTCATTCTGTACTTTTGTAAAAAAAAAAAAAAAAAAAAATCAAATGCAGAAGTTTCAATGAAGTATTATTACATAAAAGCCTGTAAAGTAAAGGAGCTAACTACTTCCTCTGTCACTGATATGACAGAAAGCGGCCTCAGACTGTTTGCTTTTTGTGACTAAAGTTCCAGATATGTGTAACTTCCAACGCCCATGGCAGGTGCCTGATTTTTTTGGTCAGTGACGCATCTTGTGCCATTCTTTCAAAATGAAACTGGTTCTGTGTGAGTCTAAACACCACCTTTGGGTTGTGCCAAAACCTTCTTTCATGACTAATTGTTTTTTGTGACTGATTAAACACAATACAAATAAAGGTGTTGATGGACTATTTGAAATGGTCCTGTGAATATTGGAAAACCCCATTAATTATGCTAAGTGGGGGTCTACATATACAGTACAATGCATGGAGATTGTGTAGTACCAACAAGAGACATGTAAATGAGATACAACATGTAAAAGTGGCTTAGATTTTAAAAAATAAACAATAGGGTTGAATAGAAAAGACAAAACATGCCTGCAGATACTTGTGTTACACTGGTTACTTCCCCTCTAAACTATACATTTTTAAGTTCGGTCAAAATCTCAACACCTGTTCTGTATTGCATGCATGCTGTGTGAACCAAATCTGGCTTTACACAGTCAGAAAACTGTCAAACTGTCTGAATTAATGGCCGTTAAGTTCAAACAGCTTTTAAGAGAGCATCACCAGTGCACCTGCAGCCTGCGTGTACCCAGGTAGACTTAATGTACACTGAAAAATCTCTCACACAATTTATTTTTAATGTAGCTTTACAATTTTTCACAAGTGATAAAAGAAGGCAAAGAAATTATGAATTTTTGCCAGGCAGCTTTAATATGTGAAGGAACCCATCTAGAGGTACTGTATATGAAATCATCTATAAGTACAACTGTTGAAATGTTGTGTATTATGCTACAGTTGTGTGCATAAAATCAGTCAATAATACACAGTTAAATGTGCCAAAGAATGGGAGAGCATTCACATGGAAGCTCAGCAAATGAGTTAAATGATGTTTACCCATTATTTGGCCCCAGTGTGGGGTGTCAGGCCATGCCGTGATAAATCTTCAGAGCCCCACAATAAGCAACACCATTTTCAAGACCTAACCTATTCTTAACACAAAGCATCCCTGAACTCTATCCTCATCTGAGCAAAGAGCAGACATGTGGCTTGACACACAGCATCTACACTGTATTTGCTCAGGTTGAGCAGTGGCTGGTCCAGCTGGCTTGTGATGGCAGTCACCTCTGAGAGCCAGGTCCACACAACTGTCCAACCACTGACACTGTTCTACCAAGAATGTCAAACAAAAATAATACACTACTAACAACTCCAGTGAGTCAATAACTATATTATACAAACAACAATATAACGACTGTATATTATACAAAGATTTTTACAAACAGTACAAATTTGTGCATCTTGGTGAGTAGCAAAATCTGCGTTTGTGATGATGTAATCAAACATTACATTACAAACAGTTTAATGGGATGTTAATGGCCCAAAGTGCTGGAGGAAACACATTGCATGATGGTGTAGACCCATTATGCCTTGCAGGAGAATAAAGGCTGGCGATCCAGTGGTTTGGGACCATTCTGCATGCTGTCGTAAATTTTCTTACATAGCCTACATTTATTTTCATTACTCACGGGGACTTTACACTGACTTACATTAATTTCCTGGAGAATTACCCTAACCTTAACTACTACTCCCCTAATCTTAACAGTTACTCTAACCTTAAACCAAGTCATCATTCAAAAATTTAACAATTAATATGGTGGGACCAGCATCTGGTCCCC